TGTTTTGTGGTAAATTAAGATAGAATAAACTGTATTTAACTGAAAACTGCATATTGTTACGTCTCCGTTTGTTAATTGATTTTTTTCCGTAACTTCGTTCCGACGAAATTTTAACGACACAAGTCTTTACTTAATAAAACTGGTTTATTCTTTCCGAATATAACTCTGCGATACACTTAATCTCAATACTCGCGCTGAAACAACACTGTAACAATGAACGTCAATAATACTTCCGACTGCAGTTCAATTACTCACTATCTATCTACACATTACATTCCCCTAGTAAAATATGCCGGCCTACCCTATCTAGCAATTACTAGACCATTCGCCAAGATACGGGATAGTTCTAGAAACAAGAGAGCGTGAGAATTGTCACGTCATCTCGATGACGCAACAATATAAAATGAAGTAAAACAAGTTAACTGGTTTTGAAAAGATACAAAATCACCAGGATGGTCAAATAAATTGGAAATGGAATTTCACAGCCAGTCCTACTTTTCATAGGCAGAAATAAAGCTTTAGTGATACGTAATCTCTCTGTAACAGAGCAAAACTAAAATTGGGTAGTAGTATCTAGACATATACCTGTTAAAGTGCCAGACAAAGAGCAGTTATGCACACAAAATACAATGTAGCACACAACTATCCCACGAAATAGCAAATAGAACTACAAAAAGTAACAGCTAGGGTTATATTAACATATGACTTTGACAGATGTAGCATGTTCTGAATTAGAACGACAGAAATCACTAACTATAAAAGACTTATTCCCTTTGCAACTCTGTCGAAAATACTTTCATGCTCCTTTTTAGTAACGCTCATCAATATACATCGTCGCTTAGCAACAAAACTATCACCTGATTGTTCTTAGGCCAACTATGGTGTTGAAAGCTGAATATTCATTTTAATTTGTTAGAAAGGTTTGTGTTTTTATTATTTTGATAACCTCAGTGATATAACAGCAAAATAGTTTAATTCAGAAGTTTTATGACATTGAGTTGTAGCCAAAAGCAAAATAAAATTTACCAAATAGTGTTTCATCTAAGCCTTATGTTACGTTATGTATTAGGCTTAATGCTTAAATTAGTCTACAAATAGACCTACTATTACAAACGTTATAGAGTCAGTGTTTAAAAAGTTTTAAGTGGTGAATAAATGTTAATTAATAAATTTTCTTTTGGTATTTTAACACATATATTGTCGACTTGTCCTTAAAATATAAAGAAAAATAAATATTTATTACTACCAAAAGAGTTGCAAATTTGTGTCGGAATGTCTTCTACTTCCTGACCTAGAATACACTGAAGAGACTCAAGAGTACTATTTAAGTCTCTTTCAGAGTTCACACGTACTTTGGTTCCCGATAACATTTC